AAGTCTGTAAAGCACCGTTGGGGGTGGTGGTATAAATCTAAGCCTGCAATGCTATTGCTGTTTAGTCCAGAAAGAGTCTGTCGCTGGTGCGCACGCAAACGAAGCACCAGGCCCCAGGTGGACAGTCCTACGTCGTTCTTGGGCTCAGCCTGCCCCTTGCCCCCTTCCGATCGCTGCCCCTTCTTCCCAGGCAGGCCTGGAAGGAGCCATGGGGATGGAAGCCCCCAAGGCCCCCAAGAAACCCACCAGCAGCCGAGGCCTCTTCAACACCAACATGGGACCTCTGCAGCGCCAGCTCCGCCTGGGCGAGTACAACCTGCTCAAGTGTGCTGCCATGTTTGAGAGCGACTTCGTCCAGGTAAGAGGGCAGGAAGGAACCGGCCACCTGGCCGTAGCCCCATCCAGCCAGTGGTGGGATTCAACAAAAAATTTTTATGACCGGTTCAGTGGGCGTGGCTTGGCGGGCGTGGCAGGGGAAGGATACTGCCAAATCCCCCTTCCCTCCCCACCCCACTAACCTGCTTTCCAGCTCCGTTCTCCTGTGCAGGGCAACCAAAGGAGACCCAGCCGATCAGCTGGGACTCAATGGGAGGGGGCGAATTGATGGGGCCGGGGCCAGTCAGAGGTGGGATTGGCTGGTTCTCTACTCAAAATATCCACTCTCAGTTCTCCAGAACTGATCAGAACCGGCTGAATCCCATCTCTGCGTCCAGCCCCCACCCCACACGCCAGGAAGCAGCCGTGCTTAGAAACACAGGTACCGTGTTCCCCCAACAATACGGCCTCCCCCAATAGGAAGTCCCAGCATGTTTTAGAGGCATGAAATGAAATTAAGCCCCTCCCCCCAAATTAAGGCCTATATTAAAACATGCAAAATGGGGGGGATCCTTTTTTGCCTCCTGGGCCTCAGGGAAGCCTCCTGAGCGAAGCAGTAAAGGTGGCGAGCGGGATCCCGGCACGGCTGATCGTTGGAATAGCTGATCGTCAGAACAGCTGATCATTGGGAGGGGGGAAAAAATATTGGTGTGGCTGAACTGGTAACTGTTTTTTTTTACTACCAGTTCAGCCAAACGGTAGCATTTTTTTTTACTACCGGTTCGCCTGAACTGGGCCAAACTGGTAGAACCCCACCACCGGTGATGACCTAAACTGGATGCAGGATTCCAAGCGCGGCCTTACTAAAGCTTTACGGCGTGGTATTTAGGAAGGCAGAAAAAAGGGCGGGATTCCAACCTAGGGTTTGCAAGTTAACAACAGGCCTTTCCTGGCCGCTCCCGTGTCTTCCAGGTCAGCAAACAAGGTGGCATTCTCGACGTGCACAATCAGGTGCAGCAGGTACGTGTCGCCATTGCCGCGACCAGCCCGGGACTCCCGGTGCCCGACGTGCTCCTACTGGCCCGGCCGGTCCTCCTCCCTCAACAGCTGCCACCCAACCCGCAGCACAGGTATCGTCCCCGTGCTCGGAATCGGAAGTTTGAGCTCACCAGGTAAGGCTCGTCAGCCGTCTCTTCTCCCCACCCACACCCCTCCAGGCCTGGACTGCATTTTCAGGGTCTCTCCCTTGGCCGTGCCTCAATTGTCTTCCGGAGCAAGGAGGACCAGCTGTGGGGAAGAGATGCTCGCCCCAATCTGGCAAGAAAATTCTTCGGCCAAACCTGGAACTCTTGGACCTTGTTAAGAGGGGCTCAAATGCTGGGGGACCCCTATTGTAGGGGCTACACGACAGCACAGTGTGGTGGTCATTTGGAGCGGTCACTCCCCAAAGGGTGGTAAGTTGGGGGATGCCAGTGAGGTCCCTGCGGCTCTCTGAGCTTGGTGGTTTTCTGCTGAAGATGTTTCATGACCAAAGTAGGTAACTTCATCAGTGCAAGAAGCAGGGGTGGGATTCAAATTTTGTAACAACCGGTTCTGTGGGCGTGGCTGGGTGGGTGTGGCCATGGGACTGGGTGGGTATCGCTGCTGTTTCTTCTTCTTCTTCTTCTTCTTCTTCTTCTTCTTCTTCTTCTTCTT